TCAAATCACGTAGCTGATTTTCCCAGCGCCTCCCAGCGCAGGGGGCGCCCATGTACCAAGGGATGGGCCCGGCGGCGGGGCCGAAACCAGCTGCATGCAGCAGATTCCGTAACCCCCCCTTCCCCTATCCCCCCCTTTAAAACAGGGCTAGGATCGGGATCAATCGCTCCACAGCGTTCCGGAGCGCTCTCAGACGGTTCCGGAACGCTCTGAGAGCGGCCGCGGCGCCCAATACATCCTCCACACCCGCCGATTCTCAGAGATTCCGAGTTATCCCGATCCGATCTTGTCCCGATCTTCGCGTCGTTTTACCTTTTCGTTCGGCCCGACATCTGAGAACCCGGGGGGGGGCTCCTTGGCCTCGCGAGGGGAGCGCCCGGCGGCGGGGCCCATCTCGCTATAATTATAGGAATATCCTGGGGGCGCCACGGGCCAGGGGCACCTCCGGCAGCGCGCCAGGCTGCTCTGCCCCCCTGGGCCCTCCCCGCCCTCCGCCGGCAGACTCGTGGACCGCACTACGACTCCTCAAGGCGTAAAACGACGCGAAGACCGGGACAAAATCGGATCGGGATAACTCGAAATCTCTGAGAATCGGCGGGTTTGGAGGATGTATTGGGCGCCGCGGCCGCTCTCAGAGCGTTCCGGAACCGTCTGAGAGCGCTCCGGAACGCTGTGGAGCGATTGATCCCGATCCTAGCCCTGTTTTACCTGGGCCCTCCCCGCCTTCCGCCGGCAGACTCGTGGACCGCACTGCGACTCCTCAAGGCGGCCTCTGGATCGGGGGCGCACTGACCTGGGTCAATGCAGCCCCGGGTCAGGCCGGCTCTGTCCTGGAAGATCCTGCGGCACCCTGCAGAACTAGTTCTGAAGATCCCTCCTTTAGAGGGACAGGCCCGACTTAACCCAAGAGATCCTAAACAGAGCGACGAGACAACCCCAAAGAGCGTCGAGACACCCCGGGGCAACCCCGCGACGGTCCAAGATGGCGCCAAGACGGCCCACGAGGCCCCCAAGACGGCCAGAGAGTGCTCCCAGAGGACCGCCGATCGGGCCCCAAAACGCAAGCATCGCTACATTCCCAAAAGGGAGACGCGCACATCGGCGACGCGCCCGGGGGAAATGAGAAGGGGCGGGCCTTCTCAGCAGGCTCGCAAGTCCCCCAGCCTCCTGAGAAGTGCTCTGAGCCTTCCCTGACGACACAGAGAAAACGCATCAGAAGGCACGAGTACTTCTGAGAAGTCCCGCCGCCTGTTGAGAAGGTCTTCTCTTTCTCACTCCCCCCTCCTGCGCGGCCGAGCGCGTGCTCGGCATGCTCGCTTTCTTCGTCGTTCCCCAGCAGGGGCCCCCGGGATCGACCCAGGACGGTCTGCGAGGCCCCTAAGAGGGCCCCAAGACTGCGCCACACAGCCACACTGGCCATCGCTCGGACGTCCATTCCCTGTGTTTTTTTCGGTTTCGTGCGTGGTTGTTTCGCCAAGTGATCAAGGATGCTCCTTGATGGTCCTCGCCGAAAACAAAATGCACACGTCCGAGCGATGCCAAGCAGGGGCCGCCGAGACGACCCAAGAGGGCCCCACGAGGCGCCCAGGCGACACCAGCTCGCATCTCGAGGGCTTTCGCGCCGCGTCGGCCCCGAGAGCCCCCCCCGAGGGACCCCCAAGGCGCTCCCACGAGGCCCCGAAGAGGCTTCCGAGGAGGCCCTTTAAAGAAGCCCCCCGAGAGGCTCCCACGAGCCAGTCCGATGAACCCCGAGAGCCTCCCGGGAGGCCCAGGAAGAGCACTCCAGGAGACCCATCGCGCGCCCCCCCGAGGCTCCCGACCCACGCGCCAAGAACGACGGCACGACTCTTGACGAATTCACCACAGCTGGCAGTGGGGGTCGGCGGAAGGGCGTGAGCTTCTCGAGTCGCGAGTCGCGATTCGCAGGGTTCTCGCGCGGACCCCGCGGAGAACGGGCAGCTCTCCAGCCCACACCGCGAAGCAGCTTCGCGCCCCCTGCGGGAGGCCATGCCGAGGAGGCGAGGATGCAAACGGGCAGCCTCGAGGGAACCCAACGGCATAAACGTACCCTCTCGGAGCTCCGCGCGGACCTCTCGGGTGTGCGCGCGCTGAGCACGTCCCCGCAGACCCCTGCCCACCCCACCCCCGGCGCGCGGAGCGTGCGTGGGGCGGCTCTGACGCCGCCGCCGGGGGCGCGACGAGAAGGTACAGCGCCGACCCACGAAATCCGCAAGGACCTTCGGACCGCCAGAGAAAGGAGGAGGGGGAGGAGGAGGAGGAGGAGGAGGAGGAGGAGAGGAGGAGGAGGAGGAGGAGGAGGAGGAGGAGGAGGAGGCCGCAGCCGGGGGTGCGACGAGAAGGTCCAGCGCCGACCCACGAAATCCGCGAGGACCTTCGGACCGCCAGAAAAGGAGGAGGAGGAGGAGGAGGAGGAGGAGGAGGGGGATACGATACGACGCTGGCTGGCGGACGCCGCGCTCCGAGGTCAAGCCACGGGCGCCAGGCGTACACAGGCGAAGGGGCAGCCCGAGCAGCCACCCGAGGTGCCAAGAAAGACAGTGGCCCCCACCCGAGAGACAGGATCCCGGAGCCCCGCAGGCACCAAAAAGAGAGGACAGGGAAAGCAAGAGGATGAAGGTCCGCGGGGAGCACACCAGCAAGGGTGCTCCACCCTCGCGAACCCAATCCCCGTCCTCAAGACGATATTGTGAAGATCGGCTCGCTAGGAGCCTGGCCCAAAACGTTTCTGGGTCGGCAGCAAGAAGAGGACGAGGCGCAGGGATCCTACGAGAATCCTGTCTGCCCTCGTTCGCAGGGTGATACCCTGCCACAAACTGTCTTCGGTTCCGAAGGGCACGTTCCGAACGCCTATATGTAGGGTCAGTGGACGGGCATCCGACCAACAAATGTCCTGCCGTGCTAGTGGTGAAGAGCCCTCAGGGAACGCAAAGGCGCATGTGCCCCGAGGAAACCCAGAGACGATGCCCCCTGGCCGCGGACGTTAGAACGGGCCCCGTTTCAGGCATGGCACGGTCAGGCACTACTGTTCGGGCGGTGGCAGAACTGGGTTTAGTGGAACCTGGTTTAGTGATGTGTACAGGGGGGCGCCCCCCGTCCCACTTTCGCTAATCGGAACTGCCGTCACCCGAAAAAACGCCAGTTACGGCGAACCTGGTCTAGTGATTCTTGCCAATTTCGGGGCCCCCGGGCCCTACCACTAACCGGGTCCCCTTACCTGGGGTCCTTTCTATACCCGAACCGTGGCGGCCAAGGTAGGACTGTCCCTGCGATGGCCGCCAGTCTTCCTGCGCTCATCAGGGCGAAGCGCAGGGCCCTCGCGGTCTGGGACCCCGAGATCCCTGATCGCGAGGTTTCTGTCCTTTGAGGCATCATCCCTAACCTTATGTCGGGCGTGTCCCCCTACAGGGGGATGTTCGACGAACAATTTTTAAAAACACCCCCAAAATGCCCCCAACAAGACCAACAAATACTCAAAAAACAGTCCCCCGACTATCTTGGGACTATCTTTTGACTCTTTTTTTGGGGGGACAGGGGGAATCCCCTTTAATTATTTTGGGCATTTCTAATTTGAGTATTTTTTGACTATCTCTTTGAGTATCTTTAATTTTTCGTCGAAGATCCCCCTATAGGGGGACAGGCCCGACCTGACCCTAACCGATCGGGGATGGACAGAACCCCCTTTAGTAAAACGTGGTTTAGTGAAAACGACCTGAGGCCCAAACCTGGCGGGCGCAAGGCTGGAAAATAACGGCCACGGCGCCCCCTCGAGAACCGAAAACGGACAATTCACTAATCGACGTGTCCCTGTTGGGGGTTCTGTCCGCCCCCGAACCGAGAAGGGGGCGCCCGAAGCCGAACGGGCGACGGGCTGGGCGGTGGAGGTCGCGGGCCGCTGCCGGAGGCCCGCGCGCAGACTGGCGCCACGGACGGCCTCTGCAAGGAGGAGCCCCCCGGTGCTCCAGGGGGGGGGTTGTCGAGGGTCCTCCCTGCCTCCCTCCCTCCCTCCCTGCCTCCCTCCCTCCCTCCCTCCCTCCCTCCCTCCTCCTCCTCCTCCTCCTCCTCCTCCTCCTCGTCCTCCTCCTCGTCCTCCTCGTCCTCCTCGTCCTCCTCGTCCTCCTCCTCCTCCTCCGCCTCCTCCTCCTCCTCCTCCTCCTCCTCCTCCTCCTCCTCCGCCTCCTCCTCCTCCTCCTCCTCCTCCGCCTCCTCCTCCTCCTCCTCCTCCTCCTCCTCCCTTTCGGAAATTGTATGGCTGTTCGTGTAGCTGCGTGCTGCCAGTTGGCGGCTGGCCCTGCAAGTATGTGACCATCCACCCCCGGCAGCTGTAGGCCACCATCCCCGGCCATGGCCGTCCTGGGCCCCGGGATGGTGCACGCACTCTCGTGGCATCGGCCAGGAGGGCACATACCTTTCGGAGGGGACCTGACTTAGGAAGGCCCCCCCTAACACGACGCGAAGATCAGGACAAAATCGGATCGGGATAACTCGAAATCTCTGAGAATTGGTTTTATCTGGAGCTCTGGAGCGATTTATCCCGATCCTAGCCCTGTTCTACCCCCTAACAAGCACCTGGGATCATCAGGGGGTGATTCTCTGCAGACTTCTCGGACCAAGCCGCCCAGATTCATCATCCCTGCACGGGAACCTCAGTGAGGCCTGGCGCCCAGGACGAACGGTCATGGTATAGCTACCCCCTTGTGGAGCACGTACCACCTAGCCCCTCGCTTCGCACCGCGCTGGCCGACGAAGGCCGCCGCGGGCTGCCGAGGGCCGCCTCGAGGAACGCCCCGAGGGCCGCCGCGAGTGCCACCCACTGCCGCGAGAGACGGCCACCGAGTGCCGCGGAGGGCCACGCGCGGGCCGCCGCGAGGGCCGCCGCGAGGGCCGCCACGAATTGCCGCCGCGGGGGCCGCCGCGAATGCCGCCGCGGGGGCCGCCGCGAGGGCCGCCGCGACACGCGCCGGTCTGGCAGGGCTGTGGTCCTCCACGCCCGCCTGGCGGCTGCGCAGCACGCCGAGGCCGACGAGCAGCGGCCCGAACCAGAGCAGCCCCATCCAGGAGGCGCAGGACACCGCCGCGCTCCTCGCAAGCAGCCGGCCCGCGGCGCACGGGGGCACCTGGCAGCCCTCCTCGGCGGCGACCAGGAAGCATCATAAGAAGAAGAGAAGCTTCCAGAACTCCGCGTGGGTTTCTTCCATGTGCCTGTTTTTCTTTGGATTCGGGCAAGTTTACTTGCATGGACGAGGGGGGGGCTGAGTCTGAAGCAAGCCGAAAACAATTCGACGTGCGGAAATCACGCAAGTCGAAAGGCACTTGCACGCTCGTGTTCGATTGAAGAGGGGCGAGGGGGGGGGGGGGGTGGGGGGGCGAACGCCATGCAAGTAAACTTGCCTGAATCATAAAGAAAAACAGGCTCCACCTGCGCTGCGGCCCTCCCCCCCCCCCCCCTGGCGGCCCCTCCGGCGCCGCCTCTCTGGCGCGCTCCGCGGACGCCACGAGAAGGGGCGGGGGCAGCGCCGAGCTCCAAGATCGCTGCGCGTAGCTCCGAGAGTTGTTGCGTGTGCCGCTGCCTTTTGTTGTTCGCAGTTACTCCAGATTTCGTAAGAAAAGGGAGGGGGTCTCATTTCGGGGGGGGGTCTCTCCCAGGCTATCTTGGAGGGCCTGGGGGGGTCTGGGGACGATGTTTTGGAGGGTTCTCCCACGGGGGAGGTCTGAAATGGCTCGTCTTGGAGGGTCCAGACCCCCTCCCTTTTATTTCGAGATCTGGAGTAGAGACTTCCTAGATGGGGTCGGAATGGGGTGGAGGATCGCGCCGCATCGCCGATACATCGGCGATGTATCGGCGACGCCAGCGTGGAGGACATCGGGCTCCACATCGAGCCGCATCGCCGATGCATCGACGATGCGGCGCGATCCTCCGGCCCCCTGTAGTCGGTCCCCATCTGAGAGGCCTGGAGCAGAAGGGGGGGGGCGGGGCGAGGGGCGGCTGCGACTTCTGGGGCGCTGGCGCTGACCCTGAACGACGACGACGACGACGACGACGACGGACGACGGCGACGACGACATCAACGACGACATCGACGACGACGACGACGACGGCGGCGGCCGCTGGGCGAGGGGCGGCTGCGATGTAGTTGGCGGGGGGGGAGGGGGCGACGACGTGGTTGCCGTGATGCATTCGGCTGCGAGGAGGCGGCTGCGATGCAGCAGGCGGCTGCGATGCAGCTGCGGCGGGGCGCGGGGCGGCTGTGCTGCAGTCGGCGGCAACAGAAGGGGCCCCAGGACACACAAATAGATACACACAAATAAAAGGATTCCGCATATTTTCCCATATGTTCTGGGTTTTTGTCTTCCCCCCCACTTCCCATGTTTTCCTATATTCTCCTGGGAGTCGACGATGAATTGTGTCTGTGTGTTTCTCTCCCTCCTGAAAGGGGGGGCGGCGGCGACGATGTCGTCGCTGCTCTCGGGCAGGGGGCCGGGCGAGGGGGCGCTGCTGCGACTCCCGGGGCGCCCCGGCGCCCGGCGCCCCGGTGCTGTGGAGCAGCCCCCTCGCCATCGCTCGGACGTCCATTCCCTGTGTTTTTGTTCGCTTTCGTGCGTATTTTTCCGCCGAGTGATCAAGGATGCTCTTCGATGGTCCTCGCCGAAGGAAGAATGCACACGTCCGAGCGATGCCAAGGCCCCGGCCAGGGCGGGCCCCCGAGGGAGCTCCTCTGCGGGGGCCTCTGGGGGCAAGGGGCCCCGGGGCCCAGAGCCCAGAGCAAGATGCCCCAAGCAGTTTCTCCCACGTTCTGGGTGTCCGTCCCCCCCCCCCCCCGCCGCCAGCTTCCCAGATCTTCCCAAATCTCTGGGATCGACGATTCGTGGGGTGTCTGTCTGTTTCTTCCCCCTGCTGATTTGAAGGGGCCCTGGGACACACCAATAAATACACACAAATAAAAGGATCCCCCATAGTTTCCCACAGTTTCTGGGTTTGGGCTTTCCCCCACTTCCAATATTTTCTTATATTTTCTGGGGAATCGACGATGAATTGTGTCTGTGTGTTTTTTCTTTCCTGATGATTAACTGGGGCAGCCCACCCGGGCGGCGGGCACAAGGGTCAGGAGGCAGATGGTGGGAGGTCTTCGCCAGGAGGGATTCAGGAGAATCGAGGAAGACGAAGCCAAGACGAGGATCAAATCGGGCGAGGATTCATCGGGATTCTCTGAGATCTGGCGGCTTTGGAGGATGTCTCGGGCGCCGCAGCCTTCTCAGAGAGTTCAAAGACGCTCTGAGAGCGTTCCAGAACGCTCTGGAGCGGATTTCTCCTCGCCCTAGCCCCGTCCGATTGAGCCCCGTGGAAGGGCTGCTACGCCAGATTAGGCCGCGGATGGAGCAGGATTCAACGGGAGCAGGCGTGATGGAACGGGATTCAGGCCAGATGAAGCCGGATTTCGGACCAGGGCAGAGTCAGAATCTGGACCTCCCAGGAGTTGCATCAGGAGCAGGGGGCTCGGGGCTCGAGGATCGAGTGAGCCGAGGCTGCTGGACGCCCTCGGCCCCTCCCGCAGGGCCTCCTGGGCTGCCCTCGCTGCCACGGCCGGGCGCGGCGCGAGAGACGGAGCCGGCCCGGGCCCCGAGGCCCCCGCGGTTGACTCGACCGTGGGCCGGGGCCGGGGCACGCGGGCCGCCCAGAAGGGCCCACGGGAGGCAGGGAGGGCCGGAGGCCAGGCCCCCCCGCCCCGCCCTCGTGTGGGCTCTGGGCAGCGGTCTGCTTGTCCCGTGCTGCAGGGGCTCGACGGCGTCAGCGCCTTCTGGCGCGGCGGGGCCACGCGGGGGGGGGGAACCCGCTGGGGCGTGGCCCAGCGGGGCGGGACCCGTTGGGGTGAGCCCCAGGGCGGGAAGGGGTGGGACGCGCGACCCTGTGTAGCGGGACTCTCGGAGTGGGACCAAGAAGGCGTGAGAACAGATGCCTGGGACCTCCGGGGGCCACCAGCGCCGTCCACATCCTGTAACTCCAGGCCGACTGATTGCAGGGCGAGGGGGGCCATTTAGCGACAAGGATGATGTTGTTCCTTTTGTACTTCAGCACCGCATCCCAGAAATAATTTCGAGCACCCAGAAAGTATCGAATCGGTGTCAGACGAGTATCGCCTCCCAGGGCCCGACACGTGAAAATCCTCCAGTTTCGGTTGTTCTTAGTGCTTGAAGCTCTATCTGGTGATCAAGGTAGGCTAAGCTTGTGGATGCCACGACAATGAACACCCTAACAGTCCTATCATTGAATTATAAATGTGCCTAACATGTCGGAGCATGATTGAAACATGGTGTAACCATGTGCTTTACATGTTTAAATCATGTTTAACACATGTTTAAATATGGAAAGTATGTGGCAACATGGTTCTTCTCCATTGATCGTCCTCCACAACTCTATCTGGTGATCAAGGCTAAGCCAGGTTGGAGCATCATAGGACAAAGAACGCTTGGAGAAGAACGGAGGGGAAAGGGCCCGACCATGTCCATATCCACCGTCTCCCGAGGTCCAGGAAGATCTGCTCCCCGGCGGGGGGGGCGGATGTGGATGAAACCCAGCCTCGGCTACCCGAGAGGGGAGGAGGAGGAGGAGAGGAGGAGGAGGAGGAGGAGGAGGAGGAGGAGGAAGAGGAGGAGGAGGAGGAGGAGGAGGAGGGAGGGAGGAGGAGGGGGAGGGGGAGGCGGAGGAGGAGGATCCGCAGCAGGAGGAGGAGGAGGAACAGGAGGAGGAGGATGGAGGAGGAGGAGGAGGAGGAGGAGGAGCAGGAGGAGGAACAGGAGGAGGAAGATCCTTGGCGGCCGCGGTGGGCAGGCTCAGGGCCCCGAAGGTGGCCTCGGGGGCGGCCTCCGCGGCCGCGCCCAGGGGCGCGCGGGGCCTGGCCCGGTCGAGGAGCAGCATCGCCAGGCCTGCCGACAGCGCCGCGGTGGTCTCGGCGGCGATGGCCACCTGAGCGGCGATCCCAAAGCGGGCCCTGCAGGGGCGACTGCGAAGCTCGGGACGGCCAGAGAGCCGAGGCCCCTACGGTCGGACGGGACTGGAGGGGACGCGCGAGAGGACACGAGGCCCTTCCGAGGGCCACGTTGCCACAGAAATGCAGGAGGCATGGGTCGCAAGAGACCCTTCCGAGGGCCACGTTGCCACAGAAATGCAGGAGGCATGGGTCGCAAGACACAGGACACGAGGGTACCCTTGATCTGGCTGGGTCGACCTACTAATCCGGGCCGCCTGTACGGGGGAAAGTCGGGATGTATGCCTTTCCAGCCGCCCTCGGGTAAGCGCCTCCAACGGCAGATCAGCTTACGCGATCGCTCTTCGTCCGATAAGATCGGCGAAACGCAAGAGGTGACCCTACAGTAGGGGCCCGACCACAAGAAACATTCCACAGGAGGCCCAACCCTGAGACTCCAGGACGCCCACGGAGTTTTGGTGTGGGAGCGTTGCGCTCTCCATCGCAAAACCATGCAAGCCCAAGACGCCCGGGGCACCCTGGAGGCAAGCAGGGTGGGTCTTGGCACGGGCCCCCTCTGCAATACACAGGGCATTTTTTAATACGTGGGATTATTTTTACAGATTTTCAATACATGACTAATCGAAGTATAAATTGATGCATAAACTCATCGTTGTTTATAATACTAAACCCTACAGTTTCAATACATGATCCGCACGCGGAGTATGTATTAAAAACGGCACTGTAGGGTGACGATGAATGAATGACGGGGAGCCGTGTTGCGTCGGCGGCGCCCAGGAGGAGGATTAGAAAAAACCGGCCGCGGGCCGGGAAACTATTTTTGAATCGTTCCCCCCCTGCCGTCCTCGGGCGCGCGCCCAGACAGCCGTCGACGTGGATTGCGTATTTGACGTAAAATTTGAATCCGACGTCAAATGAGCATTAGACATAATGTCTGAAGCCGACGTGGAACTAGTGTTTGACGCAAAAGTTTGAAACCGACGTAGAATTTGTATTTGACGTAAAATTTGAAATTGACGTCGAATGATTAGTTAACGTGAAATTTGACGACGACATGAAATGAGTATTCGACGCAAGATTCGAAGCCGACGTGTCATAGACATACTTTTTTGGATCGTCCTCCTCCCGTTGACAAATCATATAGAAATCAAAGGCACTGTATGTTTAATCGTTTCCCCTACTGTTTTATCAACCGTCATCCTGCATTACGCGAGATGACATAGCATTCTTACACAGCGGCTCACGCGGGCCGCCGGCCCGCCAGACCTTCTTGGAAACGAGGGCGCTTACACGCGACCTCACGTGGGCAGCTTGCGCGCGAACGTCGGCGCAGACGACTCCATGGATCTGCGTCGCCCACCTGGCCCACCAGCGCCTGCGCCCGCTGGTTGTCGCTCAGCCGGAAGGTGTCCTGTATGAAGAAGAACAGGAAGCCCTGGATCGGAGGAGCAAAGAAGCGGCGTCGACACGAACTGCCGAGGGCCCGAACGGGCCTCGGGAAGATCGTGTGTGTGCCGTGTGCCCTTCTACGATCGCTTGCGGCGCGCACAAGGGGGCAGGGCAGGGGGGGGCGGCCTCCTGAGAAGGCCAAGGGCCTTCTTCGAAGAGGTCGGCCCCCTCCTCAGACGGGAGGCCGCGTCTTGGAAGGCGAGAGGCGGGGTGGCTTCTTCGGCAAGGCGCTCACTCCGGCTACACGCAAGAGTGACCCTGGGTAAGAGCGACCTCTGGTGCGCAGCTTTTTGGGGGCCGCGGGGAGACTAAACCTGGGCGCGCAAGCCGCTGCTACCGCTTCGTTGTCAGCCACCTGAGGGCCCATCTGTGCCCGCACCAAAGGTCACTCCGGCGAAAGGTCACTCTTACTCGGCGACTACAACGGGTGCGGTTTGCGAAGGGTTCGGTTTGCCTCCCGTCATATCTGCCCCTCCCGCCCCCGGGAAACGGGTGACACTGTCACTCAATGCGACCGAATCACATGACAGTGTCGCTCCCTCTAGCACAGTGGAGCACACGTCGAGGATGACAGTGTCGCTCGAAACGACGACAACTATGACATTGTCTCCCACAAAGGCCCCAGAAAGGCCGCCACAAAGCAACTCGCAAACCGCACCCCGGCGTAACCGCACCGATTGCAGTCGCCGACTTACGTCCAGTCGATCACTTCACCCGGCCACCCCGCTGCACGCAACCGGGCCTTGACCATGACGGACGAGCAGTACATCGTCTTGGAGAGCAGCAGCTTCGCAAAGTCGGGGTGCCGGCTCAGGTCGACCTCGTAGGAGGCGCAGACCTTCGAGTGGGGAATCGACGACAGAGTCAAGTCCTCTCGTCGGATCCAGGAGACAGGCGCAGAATGCTCGTGGATCCACGTGTGACGTCATACTTCTTGGTTCGAAGGGCTTCGACGACAAAATCAACGTGGGGGTACTAGGGGGAAAACAAACCTAGCTCGCTTTTGACCACCATCGCTTCCAAGAGATACCAAACGATGCCAAGTTGCAGCCTGTACTGGTCAGGCCACTTGACGAGGAGGCGCGTGGTATGGCTTGGTTTTGCCTGGAAGCGAAAGCGGGGTAGGTAATGCACGCTCTGAGGTACATCAGTTCTGTAGTCGATCCCCTGCTCGAGACCTGCGACCAGACGCTGGCGGCGCGGGCGGGCGGGCAGGCGGGCAGCGAGGGCTCCTCGTCGGCGGTGGCGCACACGGCCGCGGTGCACAGCGCGGCGAGGGCCACTGCGATGGCGTAGTGCGTCTGCAGGCCCAGGCCGCCCACGAGGCGCACGAGCAGCAGCGCGCCCAGGGCGCCGGTGAGGGTGAACGCGGCGGTCGCGCCGCCCGCGAAGCCCTGCTGCTCCACGGGCACCTGGTCGGGCACGAGGCCAGCCTGCACCTAGAAGGAGAGCAGACAGCATCTTCATCATCATCATCATCATCATCATCATCATCATCATCATCAGCATCAGCATCATCATCATCATCATCATCATCATCATCATCATCATCATGATCCTCATCATCATCATCATCATCATCATCATGATCATCATCATGATCCTCATCATCATCATCATCATCATCAACATCATCATCATCCTCAGCATCATCATCATCATCATCATCACCACCACCACTATCATCATCATCAGCAGCAGCATCATCACCACCACCACCACCCTCATCATCAGCATCATCATCATCACCACCACCACCACCACCATCATCATCATCATCGTCATCCTCATCATCCTCATCATCATCAGCATCATCATCAGAATCATCATCATCATTATCACCACCACCGCCATCCTCATCATCATCAGCATCATCATCATCACCAACACTACCATCATCAACATCATCATCCTCATCATCATCAGCAGCATCATCATCATCATCAGCATCATCATAATCATCACCATCATTAGCATCATCAGCAGCATCATCATAAGCAGCATCATCATCATCGTCATCGTCATCATCATCAGCATCAGCATCAGAAT